CTACATATCTGCCAGTTGTCAGTGGGTTGGTAAAACAAACAGCTGATGCTGTGAAGCTAACAAAACTGTAGAGTCCTTTACACTGAGTGTTGTTTGCTATTTGTTGGTTGTTACCTGATATTACAAAAAAGAGACTATTTCAAAGGAAAATAAAATTTTGTTTGCAGGTGCATGTAAATGTGATTATCTAACTGGACCACTAAAAATAAACAGAATACATATATATATCTAACATTGATTCGTTTGAAGCAACTTATTATTATGAAATTATGTGTAGAGGATTAATAATAATAATAATAATAATAATAATAATAATATCAACTCTTATATTGCATGCTTTCCATGAAATGATCAAGCACGCATTACATCTCAATAATAATTATTAAAAATATACTATGATAAAATTGAAGCATACAACATATGTTAAGATACTAGCAACTAGCTGTCATCATAAAATTTTAAAATAAAAATTAATAAAAAGCTTCCTTAGAGAGGTGCGTTTTCAGGTGGCACTTAAAAATCCCTAGATCTGTGATAGAAAGAATCTCATGCAGTCGTGCATTTCAAGGGATTCAAATATCTCAATTCAGCAGCAACAGAAACATCAACTGATAAAGCAACATTAAACTCCCTTTAAAACATTTCTGTCAACATTCACGTACAGATACATATTCGTGTATGACAAAATTCTACATATCTAACAATGGTTTTTCAACCTTGCACACTGGAAATGCCCTAATTTAATACTTTTATTGTACCCTTTTATCTGTAGCTTATCATATCTTGAATACATGAATGGTATAGTGACTGCTCACCCAATGTAATTTTGTAGTTTTTATTTCGGGCCAACACATCAGTTAATGTTGAAAATCTGTTGACTATGGATATGTCAGAGACTGCCACCTTATCTGAGCCCAGGTCAACTCTCCACCAGCTTGGATTGTCTTGTCGAGTAAGTGTACAGCTTCCATTTCTAAACTCTGTATTAGAATTACCATCCACTGCTTTCTCTGACACACCTGACACACCCAAGTTAGTATTGTTAAATGTTGACGACTGAAGGGTGGCCATCCCAAGAGCAACATTTACTGTGTAAGGATAGAAAAGAAATAAATATCAAATGAGATTTGGGTTTTGTATTATTAGCAAGCTACGATAAACTTATGTTAGAGTAAGACTTCAAGTGAGAAAAATAAGACCATATTATAGTCTGAAGCTCCCAAAGTACGGAAAACAAAAGTTGAATTCACGGAAAACGTGGCAATTTACTAACGTTTACCCGTGTTTTGCCTGCGGAAAATCTGACGTTTTCTGTGCGTTTTCACATGGGTGAATCCCATTATTCGGTAGTTTTCCTTCGGGGTAAATGCAGGTAGACGATTCATTTCCCGGCATTAACCATTCGGTTAACGCACTGCAAACAGCGTGTTTTCCTTTTGTTTATTGACATTTTCCAAGTGAACAACGTATTCATCAGAGTAAACAGCTGAAAACACACATTTTCCGGGAAGGTTGATGTGTGTAAATGCGGGAAAACAAAATGTTTTCCGAGTTTGCAGTTCATATGATGCATGGAAAATGCTGTTTTCTTCTGTTCGCAACCATTTTTCACCCGGTGAATGAATTTTTCCAACGTTTTTCCGCGATAGTGAATCCGAGAAAATTCGTAGAAACACATTTTCCAGTGTTTTACCTTTCATTTCGGTTAACTTATGAAAAACAACATGTATTCTGCCATTTACAGCCGTTTTGCGAATTCGAACGTTTCATTCATTCCCCGGTATTTTCTGCAAAGGTAAATTCGTGCGAGCGATGAATTTTCCCACATTTACAGCCGCTCGATTAACAACGTTCATCAAATTTCACTTTCTAGACTCGAACTCTACTGCAGGTTCTCAAGGCATTTTGTCTTATTTCCCTCTCCCAGACAGGATAAGCACTCCTTTAATAATTATCGTCAAGTTTATTAATGCACAATGACGTTAGCGGTACAATTTATTAAGCGTCTGAAATGGAGCCTGATAACAATCATGTTTCTTAGCCTTATTTTACTTTACACATTTCTCTGTCTAAAGCCAAAAAGAGGCAAAACTTAACCGTTCCAGTACAATTCATACGATAAAATTGGAAGGATGACTGTCTGAAAAATTATTTGTGGGTCAATATATACAAACTATTACCAGAAAACTGATCTCAAGATACATGTTTAAATTTCTAAACTTCTATAATAAGCATTTTGCAAAAATGAGTGTCAAGTGTTTGAAGAAAAAATAATTAGGTGAACTTCATGTGCCGAGGGAATCAAGGCAACATGCCGAGAATGTCACCTTACATTTAATCTTATGCCTGCATTAAATCTATTTGAAACACTTCTGATGTTTGAAATTGAGACACTACTCAATCTGATGGAGAACAAGAAAACTATAAAAGAGAGAATGAAAATTGTAGCTTCCTCTA